ACACATTTGTCATGACGTTCTCTCGCAGACTTTTTGCATGCATCTGCGTCATCCTTGTTCATCTGTCTTCTTGCGACCTATATACGAACTGAGAGAACATCGATTGCGACAGTAAGGCGCCCTGAACGTACCAACAAGAATCCTGTCCGATTTTCGCGTGTATCCGCGATTATCTTTCGCGTCGATCGCCAGACGATTCATCATTGAATAATAAACGAGCCATTACGTACGTGTACTTATACGAGGTCTTTGAGAGTGGTACCATAATTCTAGAACACCCTGTATACATCACTATTCGTTGATATCTTTTTCTTAGCGTTTAATGATTACATATAGGCACGTTTACAAATGAGAAAAAGGAAAGAAAGTTTAAAGTGAAAGAAACCTGATGATAGAGTGCCTATGGACAACAGTGTGTTCGAAGATAATTCCTTTAAAAAACCTGGAAAATTCCTCAATGTAATTCTATGATCTTACTTGAACATACTGTTTCACTGATTTCACTGAACTTTCACTGATTTTCATGAAACTGCAAGACGATTTGTACCTGTCCGTTCAGAAGATTCAAAGTTAATCTTTATAAGGAAAAATTATATACGTATTTCATAAAATAAATGTATAGAATATGTATGATACATTATGCAAATATACAAATATCTAAACCATAAAATATTTATGTAATGTGACGGTTAGGAGCACTAAATAGAATCCTGCTAATGAAATTCGGTATGCGTACAAAATTGTTTCGTCAGAGATTGATGAATCAGTTTCGCAGTGCTAAAAAAGGTGTCACAGGCTTTCTAAGGATTGAAATTCGGTGAGAGTGTCTCGGACTTTGCGAGGAATCTTTTTTGTATGAATAAAATTCAATCTACATATACTTCATATGACCTGACTAAGAATATGTTGAATAGCGGTATTAACGGAACATTATCCAACAATATTAATTAATTACTTTTATCAAAAGTAATTTTCTACGTAACTACATAGATAGGGAGCAGGGTGAGCTTGGTCCCCCTTTCCATCAAATATGGGGTGACATCCTTTATCACTTTAAAATTCTAAAATTCTAAAATTTTAAGGTCCTGAAATTTCGTGGACTTGGCCCACCCCATAAAAAAGACCTAGTTACGCCAACGTTTGACGTTATAAAAAAAAAAAATGATTCTTGGTCCCGATTGAATTCTGCAGGATCGATTATTTTTGCAGAGTCGCAGTTATTTATCCGTTGCACATTGAGATGAACGAAACCAAGCAAGTACGAAGCTCTGCAAAATCCTACCGGATGGCCTCATAGTGGAAAGTTTCCTTTCGCGTCGATATATTGCGAAACAGTACTAGTCGAGTTTCGAGTTACCTACGATATCAGCGTCGCAAAGTTCAAATCTTCAACGCGATATCGTATTGCGGTGGCAAAGCTTCGTTCTTCCACCTCCTGGTCTTTGTCTCCTTTTATGCTGGCGCCAGGAGAAAAATATGCATTCAAATTCGCATGCTTGCTAGAAATGTGGGATTTTCAACTGAAGCAGAGTCGATTTAACCTTTTTGTGCAATTTTTTGATTTTGAGGTGATATATCAAATTTCGTGAAGTGATATATCAAACGAATGTTTTGATAAACACTTTTTTGACAAACAACGCCATATCAAGGGGAGGTCTGAGGGGGTCTGCAGCTCCTGGTACCAATTTCCAGGGGGCTCTATCTAAGCCTTTTAATTACTACAATATATTAAAATATATTGAATGAATCTTCTTTTTCTTTTTTAATTTTTGAACTAAAGGGGTTCTCAATAGTTTTGTTGACGGAGGTATTTTGTATACATTCCAAGGAAATTAAATTCAAATATGTAAATACATACTGCACATAAAAATGAAAGAAAAACCATTTGCTTCAAAGTTTATGGGTCATACACGTTTCTAGTAATAATCTCATATTTCGCTTATGTAATTTGTCTTTTCTTGGACTACAGTATCAGTATCAATTAAATTTGTTCTAAATTATAAATGTACGAACTATAATAAAAACCGAGTGACGTGTCTTTTTCGATAACAGAAGCATTCTGATAATAGAAAATATGAATAAGTGGAAGTCGTGTAATAGAAGTTCTACTCGGTATTTCCAGTTATTTTTCCTTTACTGTTATCTCACAGATAAATTGCACTGGTGTTCATTTGTTTCTGTAGGAAACTTGACAGAGTTAATTGTCTGGCATTATTTAAAAATAAACAATTTTTTATCCACGTTATCCGGAATTGCATAACTTTCTTGAGTACGTTATTCCATATCATCATCGAACAATAGCTAGGTAAATTAGTTCTCTTTAATCAACTCAAAAATTACTGAAATTGATTAATTTTCAATATTTCCTTTATGACAAGAACTTCTCCGTTTAATCAGCAAATTCTATTTTTATTTCTCATCGTACAACAGGAGTACATCGTCATTAAGAAGGTTCACCGTCATCGTTGTGATACGTTCCTAGGTATCATTGACGAAAGCTGCTTATTACGTGTAAGACGATATTTCCATACATTCCATAATGAAAAGAAGATGCAATTCGTCAGAGATAAAACGTAAATGAAACAAAAGGAAAGGAATGAAAATTAAGACACGTCACTTTAATTTGCGAACACTGCGACAAGGTGTCAACAATGTTGTTAACCCTGATCCCGAGCCAATTGGTATGGGCTGGAAATAAATAACGATGAAGTCATAAAGTCTAATCTTTTCTGCTGACACGTGTACACACAGTTATCTCGGGGATGTCAATGAAACGGGAAGCGGAAAGTATACGAAATTACGTGAATCACTTTATCGCGGTGAGAATACATGTTCGTTAACCTTGCAATAAAAAGTGAAAAAAAAAGGGAAGCTGATTATACCAGCATCGAACAAAATAATAAAAAATGATTTATTCTATTGATTTCTCGATTCACTGTTAAGTCAAATGAAAAATATTATTTAGCATTCGTAATTTGTTGAATTGTTTGACAAAATTGATTTTGATCATCGTGGAATGCAACACGTCAATTTCAATGTTGTGCAACCGAATGCGCAGTACATTAAAATGATGCATTGGCAGACATTAATAAGCAGAACGTGACAACATTTCCTGTTTCGACACGATTAAATTGGCATTTTTCGCGACAGGTGTTATCAGAGGCTACTATGTATACTTGTACATCGCACACGTGTGCTCCTGTATTAATCAAGAAGTCCTTGCAGCGATTAGATCAGAATCATTTACAAGTAACGTTTGATCGATGAGTCAGATTAAAAAATTTCCAAATAAACCTTCCGCTTTGGCTTAAACAGTATTAGGTATTTACGTCATTGATAAACGGTTAGGTTACCAATGTTACCATTGGTTAGGTAAACGGCGTTAGGTCAAAGTGGAGGGGAAAAATCTTGAATGAACGCGTGTTTCTACAATTCTCGATTCAATAGCCAGCCAAGGATACTGTTTTCCTCCTTTTTCGACGAAGAAGAAAAAGAATCAAATAAATTATATCCTCTTGAAAATTTTCAAATCAATAATCCTTGCTTCTGCGCTGTTAATCCTGATTGTGCACCGCTACCAAATTTCTTCGTCATTATTTTTATTAAGCAACACGTGATTGTTTCATAAGGTTACTCCATCACTCTGGATTTGATACTTATATCACAGAAAAAATATTGTACACATTGAAGGAAAAGATGTAATTGATATGTTATCAAAATGTTTATCAGAGTGTTCCACGTAATGGACGTATATCATCTTTTTTATATCCTTTATCGAGACAAGTACAATACTCCGGGGTTTTCATGAGAAATAAAAGGGTATCATGGTCATTGGGACTAAATAATAATCTTGAAGTGTTCTCCAAAAAGAACATGATTGATGGTTTTATTTTCGAAACCGCAATTATTTCAAGGAACAATGCCATTCGGTTGTTTAAATCCTGAATAAAAAGTACCCTTCACATTTTCAATGAAACTAAAAATACTGTCTGTTGTTTTAGAACATTGTCTAGTACTCGAAAATAATTCTCCCCTCTTCCAACAAGAAAATGATGTATTTTTCATTTGTCTTGTTTTTTAATTTCAGCTTCGGTGCTTCTGAATATAATCTGTTTTCGATATTTCCTCTCGATGAACATTGTCACCCGACAAGGAGGACAGTTATTAGAAAATATCGTGGGCGGATGTTCGTTCTCCCAGCGTTGATAGCGTTAACATATTCGCTACCACTGTCAGATGCGATACGATGCTCCAATTTCTCGCGAAACACACGTGCGATGGTCATCGAGTTTACATTTTTATATTTCTTAACCGGTGATCGAGCTCCTTTGAAAATGTCAAAGTGAGTCTGTCTCCTTCGGACGCAAAAGATGCGTCATCGATTATATCTGCTAGGACATCGGTAAGACGTACCCGGTGCGTCGTCGGTCTCGAACATGTTAACCTTGATCCTGTACCGAGGTGGTACTGGGTACCAGCAACGCGAGACGATTATATCCGATTATACTCGATAGACGGATAACGATGCAGAAACGCGTTCGACGTAAATGGATTTGGCATGTGCGGTGGGAGTGGCGGAATGGTTTCGCGGACGAAAAAGGAGACGGGTGAAAGAAAACGAGGGAAAAAAAGAGTGCCACCAAAGGTGGGGGAGAGAGAAAGAGAGAAAAAGATAGAAATGTCGAGTGTGCCACTGGGTAGAGAGTGGTGGAGATAAAAGAGAGAAAGCTAGAAAGGAGTGAAAGAAGAGTACAACAACGACGACGAGGACGACGACGAGGACGACGACGACGACGACAACAACGACGACAACGACGCCGACGTCGATGATGATGATGACGAGATAGAGGTGGTGGAACAGACGTCGACCCTGCCAATAATGGTTGGTGGTGGTGGTTGGCGCGGTCGGTAGAGGTGGTGGCGAACATCGTCCGAGAACCCAGAGAAGTGAGCGTTGACCGTGATCGGAAGGGTGTACAGTGGGGGTTCGAGGTTGTCCCGAGTTTGGTGGGGAGAAAAAGCATAGTCACTGTTCGAGGAGCTTAGCCGTTAGCTCGTCCAGTATTCGTGTCTGTGTGCGTGAATATGAGATTGTGTATGTCACGCGGAAAGGGACGAAGGAGGCAGAGCCGCGAAGAAGAGTGGGAGAAAGAGGCGACGGAACCGCGCGTTCCCGCGGCCTCCCACGTCGCGGCTCGTCATTCCTAGCCGAGTCTCTTCGACGTTCACGACACGACCACGCTTCTCCAGAGACCGGACGACACGATTCCACGTCGTTCTGACGGTACGATCTGCACCCGAAATCGTCCCCTACTATTAGCCTACCCGCTTTTATACTCTCCCCTTCCATCCAGAAACTGAACCTATTCATCTCTCACTCTCTCTCTTTCCCGTCCTCGGTGATCCTTTTAGACCAGCCACATCCCTCGAGCGGCTAAGAGACGCAGGCAAGGAGAAATCGTTGAAGAAAGTTGGTAAAGAAAGGAGCAAGGATCAGTGTTAGCACGACCGTCGACGGAGTCGATTCGGTAATTCGAAACACGCATCGTTGTATTGGATAATAAGAAGGATACTGTGGTACACGCGTTTCTCTTGGGATACATCGATACACAGGGTACGACATAGGAATCGCGTGTGGGTGTATCGAACCGGCAAAAAATCGAATTGGAGTCGATTGATCAAGAAGACATCGATTACCGTTCGTTTTCGATCGACCGAGAAAACGAGCGGGCTCGTTTCGAACGAGAATAAACGCACAGCTTGCCAGAGAGACCTATACGTACTTAACGAGGAATTTGATCGGGGACAGTCGATCGTGAGTTTTAGCGAGGATGTCGCACAAGCTGCAGAACCAAGGAGCGCCGGTTCACGGGGGCAAATTTCAGGTGAGTTTATCGAACGATTTTCTTTTCTTTTTTTTTTCCCCCTTTCACGTCGATTTTTACTAGTCGCGATCGTTCCCTCTCGTCGATGTCCAGTGTTACGTAACAATGAACGATTAAAAATTCGTGGCGAACCGGTGACGAAACAGGTTTATTGACGGATTAACGGTTACCTCGTCGATCGGAGTCATCTGATCGCGGGAGAATTAATTAAATCGCGGTCGGAAGTGTGCTTGACCGCGTCGCGTATATAAATAGACCTGAGACATCGCTAAAGAGAAATCAAAATCATTATTAGCGAAACTATTAAGGCATCGTTCGTTGATTTTACAATGAGAAACGTTGTTAGCTGGTATTTATTCAAAAATTAGAATGTAAACTGTCATGGCCGATCGACGAGGAGCGCGAACACGCGGAAACTGATCAAACTAGATCAACAATTGCGAAATGAAATATTTACGAATGGAGCACAGAAGGAATAGGCAAATTCCAAGCGAGTTCAATGGTGGAGTTCAATCGAACACCTTTTTGCGTACCGCTTTCGCGCCTGATTTGCATACATAAAAACACATGGAAGCCATTTACATTCGTGCATGCAGTCGCCACGTGGATTTTTCTTTTTTACCCTGCGTTACCTTCGACGAATTCGTGAACCAAATATCGCAATCGTGATACGTTTCAAGTGTTGACTCAGCGACCAGTCATTTAAACTTGAATTAAGCGTCACGTGGAATTGATAAAACGAGGTCGCGAAAAATTGTTACAAGTTTTCGACGCTGCTTTGCCGATTCGTTTCGCATTTTTCTTCATCGTTTTGCTTCCTTGTCGTACGTGTCTCAGTTACTTTCCATTATTACTCAATCGCGAAACCACGCTGACCAAACTGGTGGACACGAGAGTAGCAATTATTAGAACTCGAACCTGTATCGCCGTCGCGACGCTTGAGCGTCCGTTTCGCAGCCGAAACGAGCTCCGTTTTGCTCCTCTTGGCGGCGTGAGGAATTAAACTTTGGGAATGTAGATATTTCAGTGGATTATAGTCATGAATCATAGCTATAATTTATGGGATTATAGTATTATTGAATGGGATTATACTATTAGAAATCTGTTATTAGAAATTACGCGAGAGCAAAATATTATTATTTGATGTATACCAGCAGAAATATATGGAATTGTGATCAAAATTTGCTAAGTTTCATTTAAATTAAAAAAAAAAAAAACGATGAAACGATATGAGAATACTCTTGTTACGGAGATTATTCCATGGCGATATAAGCGACAGAATCTACCGTGATAAAACATACGTTTATCTGTTATCACGTTTTATCGTCTTATCATCAATGCTGTACGCGTCCCGCTTATGCGATACGCGACGAGTGTAGATATTCTACGAATAATCACGGCACTTCAATGGTTTGTGGGATATAGATAACAACTTGCCTTCGAGATATCCTCGATCGATAGAGTTGACTTGCAAAAGAGTGCAACTGATTGTTGCAGTTACCACCAAGAGTTCTTTCGTTAAATGTTTTAAATAATAAACACGAATTTTATTCCTAAATTTATAGCAGGATCTTTGTCAAGTGAAACATATTGTTCAAAGTCTGCATCTCGATTTTTAAATTTTCTGACATTTACATTACCCCTAAAAGGTTACAGGAGGCTCATCTGTTTTAATAAAATCAAAGGATTTAATAGGAATGCCACAAATCAGTACGAGCTTTGAATAAATATGATGTTACAGGTATTAAAATTCTGTTGAAGTCTGAGATAAAATATTCAGTGACACTTTCGAGATAAAGAATGTATATGTGGAAATATGTAGACATAGGTAAGGGCGTACGAAATGTTATCAAGAATTAAATGATAAAAATATACGTGCAAAGATTTCGGTGTCGCTTGGCAATCGTGTTTACTTTCTAATCTTATAATTTCAGCGTCGCTTTACATTTCTGTTTCGCAGACGTGTTTGAATTCCGCGGCGAAACCTAATATTTGTACGTATCTCGATCCCGCCGCGATCATAAAAGAGCGCGCGTGGTTTTGCGAATCAAAATATTCTTAATTCACTGAATGTTGTAACTTTTTATTTCGTACTTATATAGTATTGAGAATAAAAATTGATTTTATCATTCAATTTCACACTGATTTGTTACGGTTATTAATATTTTAAGATGTAAAGCTAAATCACTGATCTACGAATTTTATTTCTTTTTCTGCAACATGTAATTTTTTTTTTTAAATTTTAATTTGAAATGAAACTAACATTATTGTTTTATATTTTTGTAATTCAATGCCAATTAAAAAATTTATCAAAAATAATGGACGTAATTTGCTTTACTGGATGAATTTAACTACTATTACTGAGAATATACTTTCATACATTATTGTCATAATTATCATTTTCTGAAAGTCATTTCCATAGGAAATCAAGAAACCAGTTTCATCTTGCTTTCATAAATCTCATCCCTCCTTTCTGGGAATATTACTCCTGTAGTCGCATCAATAATCCACGTAACTAAAAAAGGAATCGCCTCGTAAAACGTGTTCGTTACCGTAGCAAAATTGATAAATCTACTTGATTTCATCTTCCTCAATCTAGTCTCTCATGTCTGCGAACATTATTACGTTCATTCTTGACACATCCGTTATTCTCAACAAAAAAAAACCGTCTTCCACTAACCAACATAATATCAGATTTCCATATCAAATTAACTTATATCATCGCCTCTAAATCCAATCTACATTTTTTACACATTATATGCGTGATTTAGCGTTAAAAAATCAACAATAGTATCGAAAGCAGTAGATTAAAATTTGCCCTAATTCTACAAGAAAGGATTCTTTGAATGGCAGACAAGCTTTTTGGAAGATGATGGACCATTTTCATCGGGACGGATTCAGTCGACGATCGAGCAGACGGATTATTCCCGGCAAACGATCTCGTCTGGATATTGTTATCATAGCGCAGAGCTCCGTTACGGAATCTTGATACTCGGGTTACATCTATCAACTTAACAGTCAGAAAATTTGTAATTCAGGAAAATTCGAGTCGTTTCATGCGAACCTTGAAAACGGGAATTTCAGTAGTTAGATTACTTAAATTTTACAGCGCCAGATGAAAGAGAGATCTTTGCCATAAGGTGTTTCCGATTTACTATTACGATTACATTTCTTAGTAGAAGATCGTAAAAATCGTGGAAGTTTAAAGTACAGATGTAAAGATTCTGACACGTGTCGCGGTGAACGAACGAGCCTGTCTTTGCTTGCAAGTGACTCCTAGTTTCTATTCTGACCCCGATCGATTATCGACGAACGCGTACTTGGTATTTGCGACTCCCCGAACGTTGACTCTTTCGTTGATGGACAAATTATACGACCGATAAATCCCATCAAGTTCAAGAACGACCGAGTATTCTTTTTTATTAAAGATTTATCAGAATTTCATTTGCAACAATAAGCGAGAAAATCAGGTGTTAGGTCATCATATCTATTTTTGATTTCTCATAGGTAATTAGAAGACTGCAATGATGTAAAAATAATATTTGAAAATTGCAATCTCATGCTAATTCCGTAATTTCTTGCAATGTTTATTTTTCTCTGTTATCAAGCAATTCTAAGAATGAGATGAGCAATTTCTTCAACAAGCTTTTATCTTTGATTATCAAGTGATCATTCGAGATTGCATTGAAACTTTATCTTTTACTTTAATTTAATTTCTGTTTTAAAATAATGTCTGATAACAAATCTTAATATCATTTCTCAAAAATGTTGTTATCGTTAACATCTGTGCATTTGATAATTTTAAATTGACCGGTTTTGTTTGTAAACATCACGTCTCAAATCACTTAACGTTTATCGTAAGAGGTAGGAATCAACAATGAAATCATAAAAGATATAAAAAGACGTGGTAGATACTATATCAGTAGCTGCAAGTGTGTTAATAAACTTAATGTATCCTAATTTAAAGTCAATTTCGATCATTCTTTATCAGAACTAATCACGATCAATTGAATCATTTTCATTTTTGTCCAGCCACTTCAGGCAGTTTATAAACTTATCGATGACAGCACAGAATGTGTTGCTGTTATGTGAGCTTTTCCTTGACACCCATATTGCCGCGTTAAAAAGAAATACATATCTATAAATAACCTTCCAAAATTGAAACTCCCCCATATACCAAAATATTTGGTAGAGAAAAGGAACCCTAGGTGTAACAGCGGATTATTCAAGTCCCGGGTTGCCAGGACAAAGGGGCCCTGTCGAAAAGGATGATTTCTCCTGCGCCGGGATTTCGGAGAAACCGACATTCGCAAAAGAGCCTTTCAGACTTTCAGTGGGACCCTTTCCACGCTCTCTACGAGTTCCCTCGTTATTCATTCCGTTTCTCCCCTCCGTTTCCTCGTTGCCGTCGCAGAAACTTAAAAGAAACCCGAGGATTCCGAAACCGATGGGGTTCATCGAGACGTCGACCTTTTGTTTCGTAACCAAAACTAGTTTCCCCGTGGTTTGAATTTGGAAACGGGTACAAGTTCGGTCAATTGTTGGCCCGGAACGACGCGTGCCTTCAAGTCTCGCCGACTATGCCATGGTGTACCCTATACGTCATGGAAATTTCCTCGTCGAACACCTTTCCTCTCCCTCCATACCGCTTGGTTTCGCCTTCTTTCTTGCTTCATCCCCCCTTCTCACTTCCTTCCTCCCCTCCTTCTCCCACGGTCCCCTTTCCATGCTATTTCGCCTTCCTAACCTCACCGTCACCGTTCCCCTCCATCCGGGACTCCTTTCGTCCTGGTTCTCTTCGCACTACTTCCGGAGACCGCGATACTTTGACCAACCAACGTTTTCCGCATCTCCCTTCCGTAAACTTAATTACCAGACACCGACAGACGTTTCTGTACACACGCGAAACCGCTTGTTTCCGCTTCAGACGAGGAACGAGCGGTTTCCAGTGTAACGTCCTTGTCTTGGAGACCTTCTTAGCTGGAATTCATCCGCGGTCG